ATGTGCACAATCTGTTTTGCATGTCATCAGGGAGACCAGTTTCAGACGAAATATCCATTGATTTACTTGCAGTTGACACACATGGCACCAACGCATACAAGAGATTCATAGAAGAGAGACTAGTGCTGAAGACAGTCACTTTTAATGCACCAATCAAGAGACTAAACTTGAAGTCGTTTGCATCAATGGCAGTATAAGAGTCTGTAATAAGTTCAACAAAGAGGGCAAAGGAACTGGTATTTGGGCAGCTCATACTACTTGCAATGAATCATGATCTATGCATGGAAAAGGTGGATCCAGCCACTGCCGATGGTGCACCATACAAAAGTGACAAGGCAAAACTTCTGCAAAAGAAGAGGGGCATACTGTGATAAGCAGGCCAGATTCTGTGGTTCATATTATTTATGGAAATGCATGTTCCAATCACTATCACACATCCTACAAAGAGCTGGCTCGGCGTATCTTAGCACAACTACCAAATACTACCCATGTTGACTTTATCACAGATACATATCAGGCTCAGAGTAGCAAGAATATAGAGAGGGAATGCCACGGCACTTGACTTTCAGATCCCAGAATTCTAAAATACGCATTATTAAAGCACATATAGTCAAGTATGCCACTGCTACACCAATGTTACCAATTTACATTTGATATGTTATTGATTCTAGACAATGCCTTGATATTATTTTTCAGGAGTAAGTCGACACCAGAATCATTCTCCACTGCTGTCATATTGCAATACACTGCATAGATTCAAATGCCACCATAGTCTGGACTCCTGATTCAGATGTTTTTCTCTTGCTGATAAAGTTTTCATAGAATATCAGAATACCACTAATCTCGGACACTGGTGTTGCAGACAAACAAAGGTTGATTAACATCAGCTCAGCAGTCCAGGCAATTGGCTATGAGCTATGCAATACATTGCTTTCATTTCACACATTCACCGGGTGTGATTCTATGATGATGATGATGATGATGATGATGATGATGATGATGATGATGATGATGATGATGCTGATGATGATGAATGATGATGATGATGATGATGATGATGATGATGATGATGATGATGATGATGATGATGATGATGATGATGATGATGATGATGATGATGATGATGCTGATGATGATGATGATGAATGATGATGATGATGATGATGATGAATGATGATGAATGATGATGATGATGATGATGATGATGATGATGATGATGATGATGATGATGATGATGATGATGATGATG